GATCAGGCTTCCCCCATGAGTTGGGATGGGGGAAGTGAGATTATATCCAGAGGATTGGGGATTGTATATGGTTCATGGTTTATGGTCTCTGTAAAATGGGAGTATTCCAGGACAAGGGTTCTGCAAGGCAGGACAGGCATCACAGATAAGAATGGAGTTTGATAAGAATGGAGTTTATTGGCAAGCAAGAGTATATGTCAGAAGGCAGGTTACTGGCACAGATTCAAATAGCTAGCCCCCCAAATGTCTAATTTCCCCTTCATTCCCACAGAACTTATTGTTGTCCACACAAAGACAGAGTCTTGGTACTAAGATGGAATTTCAACATTTGAACATTCAACCTGCTATCAATTTTCTCCATCACTTCTATTTTAAAAAAACACATATTAGCCGAACTTTGCTCCATTAGGATAGTAATGGAAACACAGTAGAGGCATTCTGTTATTCCCTTTACAGTTATTTGTTGGATACTTATGATAAGAAATGCACCTTGCCAAATAATCAGAAGGAGCACTACATAAAAATAAAGTGATAATTAATGCAAGAAGTAATATATGCCAGATAATTAAATGTTTTTCCCAAGAATATATTTATTCAACATAATGTAAGCTATGCAGCTTATAAAAAGAAATGGAGACATGAGGGCATTAGTTTAACAACTGATTTCTCAGTGGAATGCAAGATATTTAATACTATAACTGTGGTATAAACTAAGATGACTTTAATACATTTTATGAAAAACTGGGTTAACTAGATAAATGCACAGCAATTGAAGGGAATATTGCTGAAATACTAATTAACAGAAAAGGAATGATTAAATCTATTGGTATAATACTAGTATAAGTAGTATCTAAAACATAAAATAATTCATTTCAAATACTCTTGGGGAAAACTCAAAATTATATTTTAAGGTGGCAATTCTTCTGGTTTACTGTTTCTGTTTTTCATCTGGTGTCTCTTTACTTGGAGAGAAAAAAATAATTTGATATCTCCAGTAAAATTCTTTCCAAAAACTAGAAAAATACATAAAAGGTGTTTTTTTTTTTTTCTTTTTTTCTCTCAACTCTTAGTTCCAGGGTCAGATTTTTCTTTCCAGAACGTTATGCAAATAATTTCCTTTACAGAAGGGAGATTTCCTGTTTGGATGTTGTTTCCAAGACCCCTACACATGAATGCTCCAGAGTTTATTAGTTTAAGAAATAATGAAATAATCAAGCATGTTTCCTTAAAAGAAGTGCTACCGACTGGATAGACTTCAGGAGGGTGGTTTGTATTAAAGCTCTTTGCTTCTTAGAGAATGTTATCATTTAATATCTTCCACCTCCAATATACTGTGCTCCTGAAGTCCAGAAATACCTAATGTAACTGGCGCTTCCTGTTTTCCCTGTTCTGGGAAATGTGAGGGATTGACTGGAAGAGAGAGCCGGAGGGAGGGGTTGCTGGCCCAGAGCACAGCCTGTGTTAGCTCAAGTGCAGGCACCAGATTTCCAAGTTCCTAGAAAAATAGTCAGGAAGTATTTAGACATATTAAGTAGTAAAAAGGACCTGATTATAATAATGATGATGATTTTGATATTTGTAATTGGCAAACACTTAAGTAGGAAAGACATGGCAGCTGGCAAACCCAGCCTTAAGCAGCAAAAATCTATGCACTCATTTCATTTCTTACTGACTTGGGGAGGAGAGTGGTAGTAAGGTGGGCAAGGACTCCACCTAAGAAGACTTTTTCTCTTGCTTGTATATTTCCACCCCAAGCTTTCTACTCAGAACTTTATAGATTTAAAAGCAATTCAAATATCTTTGGTTTTGATGTTTGTTTGTCAAAATTCTGTTTTGAAATACATTTTCTGCACCTCAGCATTCATTTGATAAACTGAAGTTGTAAAAACAGTCCCCTCCCAAAATTAGTAAAATAAAGTGATTAAAGCAGTAAAATAAAGTGAGTAAAAAGCACCATCTAAACTGGTTTTGGACCTTTTTAGTTTAAATAAATAGAATAAATATTAAATAAAATATGAAGAAACTGGAAAAAAAAATGCTGCAAAGGTAAGAAGGAAAGATCTCTTATACCCTACATAAATTAAGTGATTAAATTGCTATTTGAGTGAATGTCAGCATGTCTTCGCCTCAATGTCTAACATATACAAGGCTTTCAACAAATAATTTGTAAACAAAAAGATTATAAAAGAATGACCAAATATTCCAAGAATTAATAAAATTGACCATAAAGAGTGCATTGAGCTTTTTGGAGGTCCATATTGCCTTTCACTAACTCAGTGGGAAAACAACTTGAACAAAAGAAGTTAAAAAACAAACAATGGAGTCAACATATGGATGACAATAAAGAACAAACTTGGACACTTATTGCTCAGTGACTTTAATTAACCTTTGCTTGAAGTCCTTCATTCATAAACTAAAATGATACTTACCTTTGGCTTTGCTGGATAGACTGGGAGAACATATTCTGAGGTAAAGGATGATTCTGGTCCTTGGCAAAAGCTGATTGGGTAGAATCTAAGATAATAGATGTGAGGGAAAGAAGTTAAAGAGATTCCAAGGGTTGATAATAGCCCAAGGATCTCAAAAGTGGCCCAAACTGTTTTAGGGAACAGAATTGTTTAGGACCTAGGACTGATTATTTTTATTTGTAAACATAGTTGCTATGGGTGATAGAAGCATTGCCTTGTGTTTTTATATGCATGAATAGATTGGGGGAGATGAAGGAGAAAATCTGGGAACAATGATTGGTCATATAAAGCTCCATCTTTTGATATATCTGAGTATGGTGGAAAGGTAGCATTTTCGAGGCCCTCAAAGAGCCCTAAAAGTCCAGACTTAGAAGAGGAAGGAGGAGATAGATCTAGAAAAATATCCTTTGCCCCACTTAAATGCTAAAGAACAATACTCTAAAGACAATGATGAACCAAGGGGTGCAGCACAGATTCACGTCATCTAAATTCCTGAAATTAGATTAGGATTATCAAATATTAATACAAAAATAGACATACACTTGCAGGCATATAGTATAAATGATATGGCTAATCTTCTCTTAGCCATACCATAAATAATGGATGATACTCAAAGAAAAAAAGAAAGATCTTAAATCAGAGAAAATAAATTATCTTCAAAGTAATCTCAAAGAAGTAATATTAAGGTTCACAAATGACTTCTTCAAAGAAAGAGTGGGGTGCAGAATTTAAAGAACCATAACTTGCAAAAAACTGAAGGAAAATTTTCAACTTAGAATTCTACCCCCAACTAAAAAAGCTTTCAAAAATAAGAAGGGTAGGTGTAAGGGAGAGAGATAAACCAAAGGACTTGTATGCATTCATATAAATCTAACCAATGGACACAGACAACAGGGTGGTGAGGGCATGAGTGTGTGTGGGGGGGGGGGCGGGGGGGAGGGACACATAGGTATGGTAATGGGGGAATAAGGAAGCATATGTAACACCTTAATCAATTTTAAAAAATAAAATAAAGGTGAATTAAAGATATTTGAAACAACCAAAACTGAGAGACTATGTCACCCAACAGAACTATTTCATGTTAAAGAAAATATAAAAATGTGTTCTAGGCAGAGAGGGAAAATTCTAAATAGAAGCAAAGTTCAAAAATGTAGGAAGAATTGAAAAGAAGCAAAATGTAAATATATGCATGAATGTAAATGTATGTTGACTATATAACAATGATGATAATGTCTTATGAGATTTAAAATTAAAACACAACTGGAGTGGAGTTAAAGAGATAAACTGTGCTAAAATGTTCTAATTGTCCAATAAGAGGGTAAAATTTTCAATTAATATTAGGTTCGGGTAATTAAAGAATGCATATTGTAGAATGCAAGCTAGTAATCCCTAAAAGAATAATTAAAAGTCTGTGTAATTTCCAAATCTATAAAGGGAAAGAGGAATAATACAAAGCACTCATCCAATTCAAAATAAGCCAGAAATGAATCAAATAAATTTAGAACTGGGAGAGCCAATGGAAAATGAATATTTAATTAAATATAGTAATTACATTACAAAAATAATTCAATTAAATACAGGCTGGATTTTAAAATATAACTGTGCTTTTTAGAAGGGATACATTATTTTTAAACATAATGACACAGTAATATTAGTAAAATATAAAGAAGATAGAAATATATCATGCAAACATTTCCAAAATAAAGGTGGAATAAGTATATTAATATTAGGCAAAGTAGTCATTGAGACAAGCATCGTTAGAGATAAAGAATGACCTTCATAATGATAAAGTTTCAACTTATCCAGAAAATTTAAGAATTCTAAATTTGCATTAATCTAATGCATCACCTGAGAATATACAGACAAAATAACTGGCAGAATTGTAAGGAAAATAGTTAAATCTACAATCATAGATGATTTTAACATTCCTCTCTGATAGAATAAACTGGTTTTAAAAAATCAATAAGAATAGACATAACTATATAATTCACCATGTGACCACAGGTGCATATACAGAATAGTACACCCCAAAATTGTAGAATATACACAATTTTAAGGACATATATAATATAATAAATGTAAATCTTAAGCTAGAAATTAATAACAAATAAGTAACCAGAAAATCTTACTTTCAAATTACAAAATACACTTCTAAATAACCAATAGTTTAGAGAAGAAATAAGAACAGAAATTTGAAAGCATTTTGAACTGAATGATAAGATAATCTATATGTAACATTTATGGATGCCTTCTAAGGGAGCTGCCTCGTCCTGAAAGCATTTCTACTCTTCCTCAGATGACATATGGGCCTGTGATTCCCCTGTGATGACACTTGCTACCTTCTGTGGGACATGTCTGTTCACTGTGTATCCCACAGGACAGGGTGTTCTTCAAGGGCAAGGAACATTTCCTATTTATCTTTCTGGTTTTGGAACTGTGTCAGTGTCTGTCACGTGGTAGATATTCCAGAAACATTTGTCAATGAACGAATAAAGACAGAACAGTGACAATTATTGTTTCTGTGTTATGCAGGTGGATAATGAACATCTGATTTTAGGGAGTGAAGACGTTGAAAGCATTGATGACACCAGATTAAGCCGTTTCATTGAGATCAACAGTCTCCATTTTGTGACAGAGTACAACCCTGTGGTAAACAATAGTCCTAAGGTCCCTGTGTGTGTGTGGGGGGGGGGGGGGGGGGGGGGGGGGGGGGGGAGTGTAAAAAGGGGCGTGGACTTGTCTTCATAGCTGGGGTGGGGGGGTGGGGGGTGTAAAAAGGGGCGTGGACTTGTCTTCATAGCGAGATATTTTCTTTCAGGAGTTCTGTCCTTTGACCAGTAATAGCTGCAATTCATTGAACACCTAGTTGTTCATGTTGTCATCCTAACTACACCTTTCAGATTGAGAGCTTTTCAAGAAAGAAGCAGAGAAGTTAAATGACCTATCACATGATTAGGAAGGAAGAGAGTCACAATGCAAAGTTAAGATGACTGATTCAAAAATCTCTGAATTTTGCCACCTGAGAGTGTTCCATGAAGGCAACTCTGATCCCAGCAACACTCTAGACCACACTCCCCAAACAATCTGTGCTGAAGGTCTATTTTTTCCTCTACCACATCAGGAACCAATACCTTGTAAAAAGTAATAAAATCAATTAATAGACAAAAAAAAAACCCTTTTAAAATAAACTCTATTGGTCACGTATTTGGATGCCACAGTTATGTAAAATTTCTATAAAAATTGTTATGCACTTCTTCCCATTTTTTGCACCTTCATCCTTGTGGGCCAATAATTAACAGTTCCAGGTCTGGTACCACCTGCATGGACCCAGAACCTCATGGTGGCTCAACTTTCTTTCTGAGCTTATTTTCTCTTAGTGTCATATGCTGTATATAGCCTGGGTAGATGTGTTGGTCAACCTGTCCTGTTTATCTTCTGGCTGGCCTTCTAACACTCTACAGTTTATAGACTTACTTTATATGACCTGACTTTTATTTTCCCTGACAGAGATCATGGAGTGATGGAATACTAATTGCTAGTGATCAACATCAGCTCAGAATTGCTGTTCATTCTCTAATAACAGTTTTTTATGTGCATGTCATGATTTTTAGAAGTAACAATGCCCTTTCCCACCACATTCTCATTTGATCCCTACATTGATTTTGAGGTAGAAGACAGGGAATTATTATGCCCATTTTATAGAGCAGAACATTCAAAATCCAACTGACCTATTCAAGATTACATAATAAATAGAAAAGGCATAATTAAAGGCAGAAATTATAATTCATGATGCATTAGTTCACATTGTCTATTTCCATTTTACAGGATGGGAAATGGGAGTTCAGAAAAGTGAAGTAATTTCCTCAAAGCCATATGGCTAGCAATTTGAGCTCCAGAAACAGCCCACTGCACTTGCCCCTTCTTTTCTCATGATCTCCTGTGGTTTTTCCATTGCCCTACAGAGCCTTCAATGGAAAACACCTCTTTTCCTGTTGATTAAATTCCTGCCCCCCTCTCACACCATGTTTGTCTCCATGGAGTGGTGATTCCATTTCCACTTTTGCTAAGATTTCAAACACATGCACCCAAGGAGTGTTGGCAACAATAATTAAAAGGGCATTTTTCTCCTAGACCATCGTCACTCTCACCATTGTGTCTACAGTGATTCCAAGATTGCAAGTGGAACCAGAAAATCTGATTTTATGGACCCTGAGTTTAGGGTCCTGGAGTTCTTCAGGCTCACTAAAGCAGGGGCAAAGACTAGCCTTTCTGAGTTCTTATGCCCAGTCCATCTCTTATCTTAGAGAATAATACTTTTTTTTAAAAAAAAATAATTTTTACATTAGTAGTAAAGGCAATCCACATCAAGAAGATATTAAATAAGAATTTCTTTAGAGAAGCAAGTTTAACTTTTATTATAATGTCTTCATTTCCCAAAAGTAGTACTTTTCTCACTTAGAGACCTGCCCATACTACATAGCTATTTCTTAGCTGTTCCCAGTGCAGAGGTTTGCATCAGTAGCAACTGGACAGAAACTCACAGGCACGTGTCTGGCCAGCCATGCACTTTTAATGCACATACTCAATCCTTGGCTTCAAGGTGAAAACTGGGATGTGTCTGTTAGAATTAAACTAATCACTTCTGGTCTGTCTAATCCTTCTGCTAAGACTGCGGTACCTTTTAACTCCTTAGTTTTGATTTCTTGACCCTTCCCAAGAATCATCCTCTACGTATGCTCTAGCAGGGTAGATGCATGCTCTAAATTTTAATAGCAGAATCTAATCAAACAAAAGACAATTCTTTAACACCAAGGTTCTCCAATTTAAAATCTAAGAACTGGTTTTAAACTATAAGGAGAAATTTGGGGCAAAGAACTAATTGGGCCTCCTTTGTCAACATGTTGTTCAAGAGAGCTAGAGAATCTCTATGGAGCAATGTACAGCTTACAGAAAGATCCTACCTAATTGCTCCCCCTCCCACCATCCTGGGATTCTGACCAATGGTTCATTAACCCTCATACTCTCCCTTCCTGTGTACATGCTGGTCTTACAGCAATGCTTTCCGTATTTTAAAGGAAGTGGTGGAAAGGAATGGGATTCATTTAAAAATAAAGATACCTGTAGCACTATTTTAGGAAAGTGAAATGAAGGGAGGCAGTGGCCTGGTTTCACCCACTCCTCTCCTCACTCTGGCTCAGGGCTATCTCACCCCCTTCATCACTGACAGCTTCCTGGTGAGTCAGCCAAAAGGAGCCAACACCTTTGATCTCCTGAAAAGCTCATTGTATTGCTGACCCAAAGTAGACTGATTCAATCACACTGAGAGTTGAACTGGTTCAGATTGGGGTTTTGTAACTAACTGTGTATAAGGCAGTTCATCCTGATGGTTAAGAGCACAGACTCTGGGGTCAGGCAGCTTGGTATTAATCCGAGTCTACTTTAGGTGACTTTGGGAGAGTTTTTGCTTCAATTTTCTCATTTATGAAACTGGGACTTAGAGGATTAAATAAGTTGTTATATGTAGAAATCTGAAAACAGTGCCAAATAATCGGCACTCCAAAGAAGGCACTACTACTATGTAGTCAAAGTGACTAGTATAGTACATGGTATATTTGTTGTCTATCCTATCTGATAAAAGAGTAATATGCAAATTGACTGTCACTCCAAGACACAAGATGGCCACTCTCATGTGGTCAAAGATGGATGCTCCCATGTGGACACAAAATGGCCACCACAAGATGGCTACCTGCAGAGGAGGGAAGTTGGGGGAGACCAGGTCTGCAGGGGAGGACAGTTGTGGGGGGAACCTTGGCCTGCAGGGGAGGGCATTTGGGGGGTACCAGGCCTGTAGGGGAGGCAGTTGGAGGTAACCAGGCCTGCAGGAGAGGACAGTTAGGAGTGAACAAACTGGCAGGGGAGGGCAGTTAGGGGTGACCAGGCTGACAGGGAAGAGCAGTTAGGGGCAATTGGGCCAGCCAATGAGCAGTTAGGCATCTATCAGGCTGGCAGGGGAGTGGTCAGGGGGATCAGTCTGGCAGGCAAAAGCGGTTAGAGGCAATCAGATAGAGGCAGGGAAGCAGTTGTGAGCCAACAGTTCTGGGTTGTGGACTGCCCTCAAGGGGTCCCAGATTAGAAAGGGTGCAGGTTTGGCTGAGGGACACCCCTCATGCATGAATTTTTTGCACTGGGCCTCTAGTTGATACATAATAGATTATCCCAAAACTTGGCAGCCTAATCCAATAAAAATTTATTACACAGTTCCTGTGGGTCAGCAGTTTGGGAGTTGCTAGACTAAGTGCTTTTGATCTGGGTGTCTTGTGCAGTTATAGTCACTGATCAGGGAGGCAATGTCATCTGAAGGTATGACTGGGGCTGGAGGATCTGCTTCCAAGATGGTTCAATCACAAGACTGGCAAATCAGTGCTGGCTGTTAATAAGAGGCCTCAGTCCCTTGCCCTGTGAATCTCTCTAATTTTGGGCTTGTTTTCCCCAGAGTGAGTAATAGAAGAGAGAGGAAGGGAGAAACTATGATGTCTTTTATGACAACATTGGAAGTCACACTTGATCATTTCTGCAATATGCCATTAGTTACTCCACTCAGCCTTACACAGTGTAGGGGAAAGGGATCAGCACAGTTGCATGAGAACCAGAGGGTAAATCTTACTGACAGGCATCTTAAAGGCTAGTTACCATTTGTGTTATGGATTTACAATTCTCATTTATGTTGTAGTTTGCCTAGTCCCTGGGTGGCCAGTAATGGTTTTTTTCTTTCTTCCTCTCTCTTTAATTCTACTATAACGTATTTCAATTTGCCAGACTGTGATTGGTCTATTTAATAGCATGGTTCAGATTCATCTTCTCCTGATTATGGACAAGGCCTCCCCAGAGTATGAAGAAAGCATGCACAGATACCACAAGGCTGCTAAGCTCTTCCAGGGGAAGGTAAGTCTGCATTGGGAGATACCCTTTTGAAAACTCAACACCAGGACAGTAGAAAAAGACAGATGTGGTTAGGGAAGTGAGATAAATAAGGAAAACTAGTATGGTTAAGAGATAAAATAATAACTGGGACATAATAAATCACGTTACTCTGATTTAAAATTAAAGATGTTATATTTTGTACTATTCAAAACCTATATAATTATATCTTCCATTAGTGCTAGTCTATTGCTTTTTTTTCTACATTGAGAAGTAAAAATAAAAATCATGTATTTATTATGATATTTTTCTCCTTGCCATAACCCCTTACATTTTTAGACCTCAGGGTTTATTTCTCATATCAAATACCTATCATATACTTGGTGCCTAATGAATGTCCAGTACTTGATGCCTAATGGATAATAAATATTGTTTTCCTTCCCTACTCTGTGCAATTCTATTTAATATCACTTAAAAGTAAAACTTCAACCCCTTCAAAGTTACTATATTGAACTACATGATCTGTTCAATGATAAGAGCTGTCTGATGATTAAATAAGCTGACCTGCTGGTGGTTGTTTCTGTAAGACTTTAAGTTTTCAAAGTTATTTAATACTGGGGGCCAGTGCATAAAATTTGTGCACTGGGGAAGAGGTCCCTCAGTTCAGCCTGCCCTCTCACAGGGAGCCCTCAGGGGATGTCTTACTGATGGCTTAGGCATGGTCCTCTGCAGGAGGCAACCAGGCTGATCAGGGAAAGGCACCAGCCTCATCACCCTGCTGTTGCAGCCACTGCCAGCCACCAGCAGCCGCCAAGGTGTTTTCATCAACATGTAGTGGAAATGCTAAATGCATCCTCTCATTTAATCTCCTCCAACAAACTCCCATTTTGCCCATGAAAGCACTGAGTCTCAGAGAGGCCAAGTAATGTGCTCTGAGTCACACAGCTAAAAAGTACCAGAAGCAAAATTTAAAATTTATTCTCCGCTTTTAACCTTTAGGCTCTACTTAGTTAATCACTAAAGTTAACCACTGAAGTATCTTCAAAGGCTGTGTTCTTAAAATTGAATCAAAGGGGTAAAATACTTAAGCAATGCAAAGCCAGAACAAAGCCATACTGATTCAATTGAGATGTAAATTGTAATGCACAAACCATAAATTCAATCAGAGTAAACTGCCACAATTACAAGGTATTTCTCCTCAGGACCTCAAATAGATCTTTCTCTTTAAAAACTTCTCCAACTGCAGATACTTTTTATTCTGGTGGACAGTGGTGTGAAGGAAAATGGGAAGGTGATATCCTTTTTCAAACTAAATAAGTCTGAACTGCCAGCTTTGGCAATTTACCGGACTCTAGATGAGGAGTGGGATACATTGAACGTGGCAGAAGTTTCAGTAGAGCTCGTGCAAAACTTTTGTGATGGATTCTTAAAAGGGAAAAGGCTGGTAAGTGACAGACTACCTGGAAGGCAAGTTGACTTTTCTTCCTTTCTATGTCCCTATTATTCCTATTGAATAAAAACTCTTTGGGTTCCACTGAATTTGATTAAGAGCAGAAGTACATGAGGACACAGTAGACAGAGCTCGGATACTTTTTAGGAGCTAGTCATGGAGATAGAACTACAAAAGCATTTTTGGAAAAGGTCTTGCCTATTCAAAAGAGCCGAATTCTGGATTTCACCATTCTGTGTACAATATCAATAGTAAACAAATTCCATTCAGAGAGTTCGTAAGAGAAAAATTGCAGGTAGATTTAGAAGTTCTGGGGGTGGACTCCAAATCTAAATATCGTGTCTTGGCATTTTTCAGAGTGAAAGTCATGACACAGAAGAAAAGACTCAAAAGGTGGAACTCTGATTTCTCCCCAATACTTCTGCATACCACCAAGCATCTGCTTCATGCTGAATGAAGAGGGGCAACTCAAACCTCAGGGACACTAAACAACAAAATCACTACCACCACACACACACACACACACACACACACACACACACACACACACACACAGCTCCATTTTGTTCCTCAAAACCTCATTTATTCTCCATGTCCTTTCTTTTAATTTGCCTATATTCTCTCTCACTACCCATACAATTTTCTCTTATGCATTCATATCATGTAGGCCCAGACGCTGTAGTACCACTATAACACCACTGGGTGGAGGCCGTAAGAGAAATGCATACTATGGTACCGGCATGAAGAGACATGGCTCAAAGGAAATTGTCCTGATTTGTCATTTAATATTGAATTTGGACATTGCACATGACCTACGCACAGCATAGTTTCTTCTCTATAAGGGTTACTTAAGGGTTGAAACTCTACTTTCCTCATAAGTTCCTGTCCCCTTCTCTAACACTGGGCCCAAGAACAAAAGGGTTTTACACACCTTTGAGGAACTGTCTTTTTGCCAGAAGTCAAATGATGTTCCCCAGGTTCTGAACTCAGCAGAAATAGACCATGTAAAACTCTTTGCTTGTTTTGTGTTCCCACTTCCCCATGTAAATCAACAACTGCATAATAAATAAAAGGCAATAATGTTATTGGAAAAGACTGGCATCTCTTTGCAAACCTTTTATAAATACCCAGCTGGCCAACTAAGCAGTAGGTACCTCACCCTTCGGTGCCTACTGTTTAGTGTCAGGCTATAAGCCACTCCGTGGGTGGGATAGGAGGTAAGTAGAGACCATCCTGCATGAGGATTAGTATAAATGTGGCCAAATTGCTCAGGCTCAAATCAGGTAACAGGTTGGGGAAGGGGTGCGGGAAGAAGGGGGGCACTTGGCTCTGGGGCAGGCTAGTGCTGACTAAGCATGGATTATTGCAGGTGAGGTGTGCAATCCAGCCATGTGGGAGGGAGAGCTTGGCCAAGTGTCTCTGGCTCACAGGCTGTTACTGTCAACACACAGATGCTCCATTGTTCCCAGGAGGCCCTTGGCTCAGAAGGAGAGCACCTAAGTGCTCAAGGGCTGAAAACCACAGAACACTCCTAAGGACTAGTCCAAGGGAGGAACGGAGAGTGAAAGACTTGGTTGTTCCTTCAGACTCTGAGCTGGGAGTCAGCAGCTGGCAAGGACACTGTGAAGGCAGCTGTGTTCGACACGCCTCTCAGCAACATGAGACCTGCGGAGTCTGAGCAGGCCATCCAGTCTATCCACAGGCCTACAGAAAACCACCCAAACAGTCTCTTGCTTGAGGCTGAAAAAATACTCCAAGGACAGGCACATCCCAGAAGCCTCCCTTTGATCCTGAAAACCAGAGCTCTTGACATTTACAGTCAGCAATTCTTCCTGATATCCAGCTGAGGTCCCCCAGGCACACGAGCGAGTTTCTTCTTAGCCACGCTCTGTGGAAATCCTTAACAGCTGCCAATCGCCATCTCCAAACAGCAACTTCGACCTCTTGCTGGTTGCTCTTCAGCCCCCTTATCCAGTTCTCTTTTCTCCTCATTCACAATCCATCTCTTTCAGCAATATTTTGTTAAAGTTCCAAATCATTTGACTCACTTGATTATTTCTCTCCCTCCCTTTCCTCTTTCTTGTTTAAAACGGTGAAATGCCAAACTGTTAACAAATAAATTTTCACAAACTATATTTTATTCAATATTGGGATTAATTTTTCAATTGTTATACTTGACGTCTTGCTCCCATTAACTTCTTAACACTGACCACATACGTAGGTTTTAACATCTTTTTTAAAAAATATATATGTTTTTATTGATGTCAGAGAGGAAGGGAAAGCGAGAGAGAGGGAGAAACATCGATGATGAGAAACAATCATTGATAGGCTGCCTCCTGCAAGCTCCATACGTAGGACTGGGCTCCAAACCCAGGCATGTGCTCTGACCGGGAATAGAACTGTGACCTCCTGGTCCATAGGTCAATGCTCAACCACTGAGCCACACCTGCTGGGCAGGTTTTAACATCTTCATGTGCATTTTGCTGCTTGATAGAATTCAATAGCACTTTTATTTTATATTATCTTCTGTATGCTTATTTTTATTTTTATGGTAGTGAATTTAAGTATTTCTTTTCATTTTTTGTTTTTCCAAAACTGCAAGGTGTTTTTTCCTGTCTTTTTTTTTTTTCAGCCAATCCTGTTCTTTGTGTCTCTGGGGACTTGTAACCAAAGAATGGAACTTTCTGAAATTTTCTTCAGAAAGAAAATTTGTGAAGGCTCTAATTAATTCACTAAAGGTCAGACTTAGTATCATAAACTCCTGTAATTTATAGATCATCTCTGTTTTTTGGTGTTATCCTCTTAAAACTCTACATTCATCTCCCCAAGACTGTATTATTATTATTGAAAGATTTAGATATAGCTCAGCTATATTTTTTATTGTGGAATCATTTATTGGTCCAAGTTGGAAAGACTGCCATACTTTTTCTCTCAAGTCTGAAGGAAACAGTGATATTATGCAAGAAAACATTGTAAAAGATACTGGAAGTTTTGGAAGATTATGATAGAGGAAGGAGTGGGAGCAGAGCCTGAGTCAGAGGACTGTTGGGAGAGTTTGAGTTTCACCTCATCTGTGTATGTGGCTCTGTGATCTTGAGAAAATCATTTTGTATCTTTGAACTTCAGTCATTGAGAAGAATACAATAATTCATAGGCTTTTTTGTGACCCCAGGGTGATAATGTATATTAAATAAAGTCTGTAATTATTTTTATGTTTTATTTAATACTATGCTGCCTTCTCTGAGGAAAAGCCATTTCTCTAATTTCAGAATTTATGGAAAGGAGAGGCTTTCATCAGGCTCTTAAAAGAATCAGACCTCCCACTTGAGATTAGTGAAGTAGTTGAGGTAAGCTTTTAAAATGTAGGTTTTCTTATTATTCAGGTATAGTGAGGTCAACAGGTCAGAAGGAAAAATGCCATTGAAAAGACAGTCTATTGCCTAACCGGTTTGACTCAGTAGATAGTCAGCCTGCAGACCGAAAGGTCCCAGGTTTGATTCCTGTCAAAGGCATGTACGTTGGTTGTGGGCACATCCCCAATAGGAGATGTGCAGAAGGCAGCTGATCGATGTTTTTTCTCTCATCGATGTTTCCAACTATCCCTCTCTCTTACTCTCTGGGAAAAAAAAATCAATAAAATATATTTTTAAAAGAAAAAAAAAAAAAGACTGTTTATTGCAGTTCCCAAGGGGTGGGGGGATGGGGAGAGGGGACATGTGATGTCCCCATAGCACCATGGTTGGTCAGGAGACAAAGGGAACAGAGAGAAAATATGGGCCTTTATCATAGTTTCTGTAGAAGGAAATAGGCAGGGTGGGGTGAGCAAGATTGGCTGGTTTGAGTCCTTTCATCAGGCTTTGAGTCCTGAGAGCTGCCCTGAGCTGGCTGGAACCTGGCCCTGGTAATTAGGGCAGATAGATGATGAACCAGTGTGTGAGCCCTGTGAGAGTAAAAGAAGTGGGTGGAATATGGGCTATGGATTGGTTGGTTTGCATTTGAAAGACACTCAGAAGCATGTTAAACTTGTAGCCAGCGGGCCGCATGCCTGCCGCTGCGAGTTTGACTTGCTTGCTCTAACAGGTGAGTTGTTTGCTCTCTCTAGGAATTGGCTAGCTCTGGGAGGAACAATCTCTCCAGCATCAGCAAGGTCCCAAATGTGAAGCATCAGAAGTGCATAGTTAATAGAATACTCTAGCAACCACCTGTCATGGGACTCCTCCCCCAACTCACCTAGTTTGGTCATGCTGCAAAAGAAGGTATGCTATTTTTATCAGGCCCCTATTAGTAGTGTATATATATTAAAGTGACCAGACGTCCCACTTTTTGCGGGACAGTCCCGATTTTTAATAATTTGTCCCGCGTCCCGTGGCATTTTTAAAAAGTCCCAATTTTTTGAAAGAATCTTTTAAATCTTTTGGACTTTTTTAAAAAAATACCGTGGGACGCGGGACAAATTGTTAAAAATCGGGACTGTCCTGCCAAAAGCAGGACGTCTGGTCACCTTAAATATATACACCGGAGGTGGTGGAGGTAAGAGGGATGTTAACTGGTATATTGAGAGAGCAGTTTATATATTCATTACACTCATTAATTCATTTAGATACTTACTAATCAACTATAAGAGTGCCAGACAAAATTGTCTCCCAAGAGAGCAAAGTAGGCCTTGGGTGATGAGCAGGGACATTATATTATAGAACAGGGACATTTCTGTTATAGTAACAGTAGGCAGCATGGGAGCCATCAGACTGGGTCATGAACAGAGAACAGCAGAACAGGGAAAGCTGGATGAAGGAGAAGGGTGCTGAGGAGAGGGGTGGGCAGGAAGCTGGCAGTGGGCTGAGGAAGAGAAAGCTGGCAGAGTTGGGGAAGAGAAACCACAAAGGGAAAGAGTCTACCACAAAAGGCTAGAGGTTCATCATGAACAAACTTTATTTCACAATTGAGTTTGAAACTAGCCCTATTTGTTTCACCTTTCTGAAAGTATGTGGTTTTCCAAACAGAGAAAAATAAAACAGGAAGTAGGGTGTATCTGGCTTATCCTCCTAGTTACAGTACTTTTACAAGGAGAAACCTAGAGAGTTAGAAAAGGAGAAAGTTAAAAACTCCTTTTGAGTTTCAAACCTTTGAAGAAAATGTACTCTAGAAATCAAAGAAACATGAATTTTAAAAATCATAAAGGTTCACCCCCATTCAAACCATTTCTGTGGGAAACCAGTGTATTATTCTTTTCTTGTCATTCTGCAAGCAGAGATCATTATTTCTGTGGGTTTAACAATGTAATATCGAGTCATGCTAGGAGAGGAAGTAATGGAGAATTAAGTGTTAAGAGATTAAGCTACTTGTATAGGTTAAGCTACTTGTATAGACTTTATTGTTCTATTGTCAAAAAAAAAAAAAAAAAGGTTCACCTACATCTTAATAGCAGGATTCAATTTCTGCATTTAGTCCGCTGGTCTAAATATGGTAATGTGGTATTAGTTTCGGCTTAAGGAAGAAAAAACCAGATGAGATTTGACATCATTCTAGCTCTGGTGAACTAAGAGTTTTAAAATTAACTAACATGTTATGTGAGAGGTTATGCTTCTCCAGAAGAAGACTCTGAGACTCAATTTCCTTTCGGAAGTTTAATAGGGGATGCTCTGGGGACCTGTGGGGAAATGAAGAAAGTAGGATAAAGCTGAAGGAAAAGTTTGGCTCTGATGTAGTCACAACAAAGGCTCAGGTTATCCCACGAGGATATTTGGTGCTGAAATGTCCTTGCAGAGTTGTCCCAAGTTGGAGAATGGCGGCTAAGACTTTATCCCCTCCCATGGAACGTCTGATGCAGGCTGCAAACAGGAAATGTGAGTGATCACTCAGCAAAGGGCAATCGCTGGGTTGGAGGTTGGTGAGTGGGATTCAGCTAAGTGCCGTCATCTGTCGACATGCCCAGCAGCGGCGGTGTTCTGGTCTGAATGTGTTTGTATGTCCCCAAAGTTTGTATGTTAAATCCCAATGCCCAATACGACGGTATTGGGACGAAGGGCCTTTGGAAGATGATCATATCATGAAAGTGGCGTCCTCGAGAATAAGATTAGTGCCTTTATAAAAAGA